AAACAAACAAAACAACAAAAAATCTTCAAAGATAAGTTCCCACCTCTTTCAAGTTCATGTCCAGTTTTACTTCACTGACATTTACAAGTTTTTTGTGCCAAATTCTGATTCCACGTCTGATCTTGTGGATTGTTTCCTTTGTCATCAGTGGGAATACAGACAGGATATAGCTACAGTTTACAGAAGAATTCTGTTCCTCTGTCCTTGGAGTCCACTAGGAATTAAATATTGGGGGAATTTTCAAACTAAATCTGATTCAGCCCAAATTATTTGAGTGTTCTGTGGCTAGAGACTCCCAAGATGGATGAATCTGTGCCTGGTACTTCTGAAATGCTTCTGAAAAGGACAGCAACAGTTTCTAACCTCAACATGACTAAATTTCAGTCTCTGTGTTCCCAGACCCTCAACTCTGCTGCCAATTTTGCTTAGGTTGAACCCCCATGGAGCCTGCGGAGAAGCCTGGACTTAGCTGAGAAAACTGTGCATGCAGTCAGCATACATCAGGCTCTGGCTTGTTGCAGTGAGCAATGGCCATGCTAGCTCATGCACAACAGCACACTCATTGCCACCTAGCTGGCACGTGCAGGGCTGGACTGCCTGATTTCCTCTACTCCCTATGCCCTGGCTATGTTTGTGTTCTGTGTTCCCCAGGCTGTCTTCTTGTTCTCCCTAATTAAGTACACACCCTTGAAGTACAACAATTCTTACGTGTACCCACCCTGGGGCTACGTGCTGGGCTGGCTGATGGCACTCTCCTCCATGGTCTGCATTCCTCTCTACATCATCTTCATCCTCCTGAGGACCAAGGGATCACTGAAACAGGTACTGAGATCGTGGTCACTGGGTGAATTGCTGCTGCCTCCCTATGACAGCTCATGGGAAGGGCCCCAGGGAGGATACACATTGCACATTTTTCCTCTGAGAAGGCAAGGAGAAGTTTGAGTGCCTTTTCCCCAGAATGCCTGACAACTATTATTGACAACATGTAGGGCTTAGAGGGAGCACAGCTTTCAGTTTGATCATCAGTTCTCCAGGGTTTTCCCTGGATGACAGAGGGCCTCCCAGTGTGTGCTATCTGAGGCCACATGCTGGCTGGTTTTAACATGCTGATGATGTTAGTAAAGATGGCATAACACCATCTTTTACTTCTCTTCCTTTACTGACTCGTGCCAGCGCAAATCAGGTACAAAACTAAGATTTGATTGCTATTGGTGGCCATGAAGAGGTGACGAGGTCGGGAGGGAGCTGCCTGGTATATCTCTTGATAAAATGGCTTAGTGGAAGATAAATTGTAATTTCTCTTCGCCACTGAACACAGATTTAAGGAAAGGCACCTCAACCTTTCAACCTTTTAACTTCCCTAGCCATTTCAATTTGGAAATGTATCCCTCCCAATGCAAGACAATATAAGTCAATCTTGTGGCAAGTTGTCGTGATATGGTTTGCTCCAAGTTCAGATCTGGAATCCCAACTCTCCTAGCCCTATCTTGTGCTTCAAACCACTTGGCAGCCCAGCACCTTTCCTATCCCACAGCCAGTTTGAAGATGGTCTTGATGGCTGACACTGCATCTGACTCCTGACAGCTCAGAGGCTTCATATGCCTTTATGAGGACTCAGGGCTTTCTGTGAAGCGATTGCCTAAATGTCCTGCTTGCTGAACAGGCAAGATGCCTCACTTGTTGCCAAATTCTTTGAGTCCTCGGACTAGAATGCTGCTGTAAGTGGTGCTAATGCTTATTTTACAGCACATCCAAGAAATTGCTTCAGCCAGTTTCAGACTGTAGCATTTTCTATTTGCCCTGGTTTAGGTTATATTATCTGTAATTTTCAAGAACCTCTCAGTTATATTATTATGAAGAAATCTCCAAATGGATGCTTGTGGCATGCAGGAAGGAGCCAGCTGCCAAGCCTGGGCTGATTCAGGGGAGAATCAAAGCCAACCTCATGAAATCTCCTGGAATATTTGCTTCTGTTTTGTAAACAAGTTTTTTCAAAATATACCTGTTCCATTTTTCCAGTCACGCCCCATAAATGTAATGAATTATTTTCATGACACAGCTGCTTCCAGGTACAGTGCCTTTTAACTGAATATTGCAAGCCATTCACTGAAAGTGAGCTTTTAATTGGCAATTATGATCAGTTGCTGCAACAAACTGATTCCTCTTGCTCCACTTGACTGATCAAGAAACACAAATGTTGTTGCTTAATGTGTCTGATTAAGACAGCTCAAGTCCCAAGCATTGAAAACCTGCAGTGAGTTGCTCACAGAGAAGCTTCAGGCCAAGGCTGGTTTCACAAATCAGGGGGCAAATGCTTTTGAATAAATGAGTGAAATCCTGCATCCTGGCAGGAATTTCACAGTGAGCAGAAGCACTAAAATTAATCAAACGAGTCATGGATGAGTTGTCTGTTCTGCTGTGGTATGCTGTGTAAGAGAGGAGCATGCAGTGGCCCGAACAGCCCATGAAAGAACAACAGCTGTGACTGAACTGGGATGGCACAGGAGAGGGCAGATGTGGCAGGAACCCCCTGATCTTGTGTCACTCTGGTGAGGACTGAGAATGTCGCCGAGGGAGGTGTCATCTGCCTCCTACCACGACAGAAGGTGCCCAGTGCCTGACAGTCACGACATACAGAAGGCTGCACAGCCCCCATCAGACTTTTCAGGAAGCATGGCTACTTGGCATAAGGAAAAGAGTAATTGGACTTTACCCTGTTTTTTTCTGTGGCCACACAAAGTGCCTATGGGGTGAATCTCTGGCATCTTTCCACACAGAAATATATCTGTGGAGAGCCGTGTATGTCAGGTTGTCAGTCCACAGCACAAATCTGAGCCTAGGAATGCAGTAACTGTGAGCAGCTGAAGTGAGCCTGCCCTGCTTCACCCCCTTCCACAGCCATCCAGCAAGAGGGGAGCATGAAGCTGTAAGCATCAGCTCTACAGATGCCTTTGCCCCCAGCAATGGTTGTAGATCACTATTGGGTGCCGGTTTGTTTATCAGCTTAATTAACAAAGACTTCCTCTCCACAGCGGCTCGCACAGCTGATTTCCCCAGCAGAGGATCTGCCACAGCCCAGGAAGCACATAGTGGCTCTGTCTGAACAGAAGCTCAAGGAGCAGTCCCTTCCTGTCCAGGAGATGCTCAGCATCACAGAGAGGGAAACTCATTTCTAAGGCACTGAAGATATCACTTTGTACTCTGAGTTTATTTGCTCTCTCCTTCCTGAAGTGGTTTCTTTTCCTGGACTCTTCCCTTCTCTCCTTCACATGAGACACCCCTGACTCCTGCCGGCTGTCAGAGGGGTCCTCAGAACTGACACTGATGGAGAGGGAAAGAAATGCAAAAAATGAAGTGCAATAACAAAAAAAGAGCTGAAACTCCCCCCCTACCCCTCCCCATCCCACACACACTCACATAAAAAAAACCATCAGTTGTGTTGGGAGGAGGAAAGGAAACCACAGAAGTGAGAGAGAGCAGAGAATAAAGGTGTGCAGTAGAAAAGTTAGGGATGCAAAAACACAAATTTGGGGTGTTAGCACAGGAAATAAGCAAGTTGGTTCAGAAGTAAATAAGAAGCATGAGGATGACAAAGGGAAATGTATTGCTACATCACCTCTATCCAAGGGAGAGGGTGCGAATAAGGTATCACTGGCTGCAGTGTTAGTGGTGATGGCTTCAGAACAGGAAGAGTTGACAGAGCACTGGGTGCAAACACAGTTATTGATGCTGGATCTCACAGCAGGCTCTGGTAGATAGGGGGTGAGGGCTAACTATCCCAGAGGTGTGCTCCCAGTCAGACACACGCTGGCCAGTGAACATGTATCCGAGAGTGAAACAGCTCAATCTTTGGTGATTCTCTCAGAGAAGTCATGGAGTGAAGGCGAAGACCCAGAGCAGGTTGGTTAAAATGAGCTGCAGCACAGCAAAGAGAAATGGAACCCTGGAGACTGCACGCCCACAAATTTAACTGCACTGCTGGGGCATTTTATGGAGGAATAAATGAAGGAGTTGATGGGTCTGTTTCTGTGCTGCAGAGTAGCTTTGGGGCAAGAGTGGGAGAAGGATTGTGCTGCCTCTGCTCTGCCGCCAGTAACTGCTCATGGGACATGGCAGGCACAATCAGGCACAATAATCATAAGCTCAGAAGTGATAAAGGGATAATTAATAGCTAAGATGACTTCATTGGCAGCAGACTGTGTCAAATTAAATATTCCCTGTGCCAGGGTGGTCGTGACTGCAGTGCAATGGCTGGGAGGGATGTCATGGGGATGTGACGTTTGGAGCCACACAGCTCTGTCTTGCAGAGGCTGTTATGTCATGTGTGGCCCGAGCACTCAGTGACAAAGCCTACCTGAATGCCTATTGAGATTTCACAAAAGCCAGCAGCAATATCTCCTCAGACCATTTACCACGGTCCAGGGAACGCACACTGGCTTCGGGTCTGCCTTGCAATAGTGCCATATCGCAGCACGCAGGAGACTTACCATTAAAGAGAATCGCAGGTGCCACAGGCTCCTTTCCCTTGTTCCTCCTTCCAAGTAATTGCTCATCCCCGTGCTATGTGGAGATAAACTGCCAGAGCTGAAAGAAAGTGGGGAAATCAGGTCTCATCTGTGCAGTGCAGTACCTTTTCCAATTGCTATGGGAACCTTATCTTTTGCAGTCTTATGTGAGTTTAACTGGTGAATTAGCATAGGGGAATTTTTTCCCCATTTAATTGCCTTTCCTCTAACATCTAAAAATTGTTGGTGAAATGAATGCTGAAAGTCAAACATCAGAATTTGTACCTCTCTGGGATATTTTCATTTAATTGGAGATGATTTGCTGTAGAAGGTAGAGACAGCTGGCAAGCCTTGTTATTCTTCACTATGAAGGAGTGCAGCACCACAGAAGGCATCATTTATTTTATTTTATTTATTAAGGAGCTAAACGTTGTGTTGCTGCAATGGTCTTGAGAAGAGCTTAAAATCCAGACTCTTGCAGCCCTGCCACACAGTAAACATTTTGGTATTTTTCCCTTCCTGACTAGCAGTACTGCTCACTATTTGTTGGGGTGAGCCATCCTCTACAGCAGGTCCTTATCTATGCTAGGACAACAGCTCCTGGTGGGCAGCACTGCAAGGCCAAGGTATGTGACAATGCAGTGGTGGCACAGCCTGGTCATCTGGTAAAGCCACCAGCCCCAGGTGTCCATGAGTGCTTGCTTTCCATCAGCCCCAAAGGAGAGCTGTACACAGGCAGACTGTTTTGGTGGCAGCCACCATCAGAATGGTGGCATTGGTTTTGAGGAGGGAATTTCCTTTCTCCAGTCAACACAAGTTCAGTAGCAGGACTGTGTCATGGCATCCAGATTCAGTTAACAAGGGTTTCTTGTGTGAACCTTGGTAGGATGTTCAACCCCTTGGCTCCTTTTGCTGTGTCTCTAAGGTGTAAGACAGCATCTTGCTGCCAGGGAAGTGGTGGAGGTGTGGCTACTCCTTTTCCTGAGGTGGTCTGAAGGCACTGCTGTAATCCTAGATAGAAACAAATCACCTTGCACTTTTGAACACAGGTGTGGAGCTGTGTTACTGCAAATAAACACGATATGAACTGGTTTATCTGTTGCTTATGTATAATCTGATAGCAGTGTCCCAGACCTGTCAGGAAGCAGCATATTTTAACAGTTGGAGGAGGAATTGCTGTCATCACTGAAAGAAATTACAGATTTTCCAGGATCAGGAAGCTCATCCAGACACTCTGGATGGGACTGAGAGAATTGCAGGAAGCTTAAAGGAAAAATACTTGTCATCTTGTGACCCAAGCACACCCAGCTGGGGTGGAAAGGGAAAATACCACCAATGATTATTTGCTGCTATAATTCCCCCTGCATGCAGACGTAGTTAGAGATCAACTAATGAATGATTTGTGATCACACAAACATCTCAGGCATTGCTGCACACACAGTAAGCATCTGAGAAGTCTTTATCAGCCTCTAGAAGATGCCCACACTGTGGTCAGAGTTGGGTGTCTGTCTGAAGAAAAGCCACCACAGTCCATATGTACCATCAGAAGGGGTAGTATGGAAAGAAGGATTTTGTTTTCATGTAGTTGTTGATAAGACATCAAAACATAATGTATTTGAAGCTGAAATCCAAGGGAAGTTACCAAATGGTCATTCTCGGCTGCTCCTCCCAGTCAGAGGAAGAATACTGTACAGAAGTGAAGAAAGACATCTATAAAGCACCAATTGCCAGTTTTTTTTACCTTTCTGGGGGGGGAGTTGTTTTACTTTTCATTAAAAGTTCATTCCCCCTGCCAACCCTCTCCAGCAAGGAAAACCAGGAAAAACCTTTTTTTTTTTAATAAAAGAAGACAAAATGTCTTAAATTTTCTTCTTCCTTTTGTCTTTTTTTGTTTCTTTCTTTCTCCTCTTCTTTTTTTCTCCTGTTCTCCTCCCTCCCTCCCTCCCCCTTTCCAGCCTTTCTTTTCTTCAACAACGGCAGGGGTTATTGAGGGTAATTGAGTTTTAAGAGTTTTTTGCTGGGCACTGTCATCTAGCCCCAAGAGCCAGAAAGGTTGTGTCCACTCCTGTAGTCTCCAAGCAAGCCCCTTCCCAAGTCCATCTGGCAAGTGTTTTTCCTCAAAGAGAAATTGTGTTGTTCTTGAACCTCTTTCCTTAGATCCTCATGCAACCAGAGGTGGTTCCTGGTTTGGCAGGACTGCAGCCTCCAGCACCTGGGAGAGGAAGGAGAAGCCATGGTGCCTCTCACAAGGCCTAGGACTGCAGCCAGCAGGAGCCAGATGGGAACTCCTTATGTCCTGGCCCTGGAAGGCTACAAGCCAGGCTCTCTTGAGAAAAACTCTCACATTCTTACCTTTGTCTAGCATGAAGTAAAATGCATACTTTCTCATTTTCAGGATCTCTTCAACTTTCTTACAGGCTTCTTTCTCACCACAATGCCACCAGGCAAGGGAAGGAGTTGTCCCGCTCTGCTCTGTGCTGTGCAGCCTCACCTCCCACACTGGGTACAGTTTGGAGTGCCACAGTACAAAAAGGACATAAAGCACTCGTGTGTTAAGGAAAGGTTCTTCACCAGAGGGCAGTGGGCATGGAACAGGCTCCCAAAGGCAGTGGGCGCAGCGCTGAGCTGCTGGAGTTCCAGGAGCTGGATTCAATGATCCTTGTGGTTCCCTTCCAACTCAGCATATTCTATAATTCTGGAGAAGCTTGGATCTAAGGCCTCTCCCTGCCCTTGGTAACCTTTGTAGCCCCCAGGCAAAGGACAGTGATCTGTAGCTCCTGATGAGATGAAGATGCAGCTGTTGCTCCCTGCACCCCTTAAGAGAAGCTGTGCCCACCATAGACCTAGTGCAGTGATTAGTTTCATTAACTACCAAGGACTTGGAGCTGCATCTCACTCATTAGCAAAGTTGTTGATTTTGTCTTGATCCTATGAATGTAATGCACTTTGCTAAGGGCCAGGAGAGGTCAGAGGACTGTAAAACCATTGAACCATACAATGACTTTGGTGAAGGGAACTTGAAAGATCATCTTGTTCCAACCCTCTGCTGTGGGCAGGGTGGCCAACCACTAAATCAGTTGGATCAGGTGCTCAGTGCCCCATCCAACCAGGCCTTGACTGCCTCCAGGGATGGAGCATCCACAACCTCTGTGGGCAGCCTGTGCCCTATGACCACTATGAGTAAAAATCTTCCTAAAATTTAGCCTAAATTATAGAATCATAGAATCACAAGGTTGGAAATGACCTATAAGATCATCTAGTCCAACCATCTCCTCATCACCATTGCTACCACAAGCTACTAAAACATATCATGCAGCACGTGATATGTCCTTCTTTTATCCCTTCTTTTAGTTTAAAGCCATTCCTCTTGTCCTATCACCATCAGGTCCCCCTCCTGCTTGTAATCTCCCTCGAAATACTGGAAGGCCACAATGAGGTCTACCCAGAGCCTTCTTTTCTCCAAGCTAAACAAGCCCAATTCCCTCAGACTTCCTTTGCAGGAGAGGTGTTCCAGCTCTCTGAGCATCTTCATGGCTCTCCTCTGAACACACTCTAGTAGCTCCACATCCTTTCTGAGGTACTGGAGACTCCTGGCTTGGACACAGTATTCCAGTTGGGCCCTCACGAGAGCAGAATAGAGGGGACAATCCCTTCCCTCACCCTGCTGGCTACTCCTCTTTTGTTGCAGCCCAGGATATAGTTGGCCTGGACTACAAGCACCTACTGCTGGCTCATGTCCAGCTTCTTGTCCATCAAGATCCCCAAGTCCTTTTCAGCAGGGCTGCTCACAGTAAGTTCTTCTCCCTGTACTCATGTCTGGGATTATCTTGACCCCAGTGCAACACCTTGTTTTTGACCTTGTTAAACCTCATCAGATTCTTATGTGCCCACTTTCCAAGTGTGTTCAGATCCCTTTGGATGGTGTCCTTCCCTTCTATTGTGTCAACTACACCACTTAGCCTGGTGTCATCAGCAAACTTGCTGAGGGTACACTCAATTCCACTGTCTATGTTCTCGATTAAGATGTTGAAGAGCACCGGTCCCAAGACAGAACGCTGGGGAACATGACCAGACTACTTGTTCACAGAGCTGTTGACAACAACCCTCTGGCTATGACCATCTAACCAATTCTTTATCCACAAAATAGTCCAATCTTCAAATCCTTACTGCTGCAACTTAGAGATAAGGATGTGGAGCATCAGATCAGCCTGTTGTTCTTTGGTTTATTAGGCTACATGCACTTACGAATAGTTTACCTCGTATTAATTAGCTAAAAGGGTTTGAACAGGTTGAGGAGGGATTAATGTTAATCAAATGAGAAGATAATATAAGCTTTCAGAAAGTGAAGATTAAGACATGAGGCCTGAGGGACTGGGGAGATGTGTGCATGCTGCCATTCACTTCCCTCCACAGCACAATAAAAAAGACTTAATTACTGAACATCTTGGTGTGGACAAGGGAAAAGAAATATTTCTAACTGTGCTTGGTGGGAGGTGAATTTATTTTCTTCCTTTTTGCTTTTAAACCCAGAATAAGCTCTGTCCTCTTGACTGCTCCTGGGACATCATCCTGGTCTGTTTTGCATGCCTGACCCACAACTGTCTCTGCACAGGAGGACACACATTTTTGGAGCTGTCTGTTCCGGTTTGTCAAGCCAGGACATAAAAATCTACATGGAAAGGGAAAGGATTCCCAGGGAGAAATGCTTTAAGTGTCTGTGCAAAGCCAACTGTGGGCAACTCAGCTCGTCCTGCTTTTGGTGACTTGCCAAGATCACACTATGAAATGCGGTCTCCTCATTTTTTCTTCTTTTTTTGAAATAATTCTGTGGAGCAGTTTCCATCCCAGCCTGGTTTATGGCCAGGGCAGGGAATGTCTCCTCATAGCAGTTTAGAATGGTTGTACTGGATAGGAGATAGACTCATTCTCATTCCTTATTTGCCAGTAGCCAGTAGACTTTCCTAACACATGCTTTGTCAAGTATGAGGCTGTTGTTGTATCATGGTGTGGGTAATGATCTCTGGAAACAGAGGAGTAACAAAAGGCAGTCTTCTGCCTCTCTCAAGCTTGTATTTAACAGTAGATGAAATGAGGTTCTTTTCACATGGAGAAATAAACCCACTCTCCCAAACAGAAAGCAACCTGTCACTTTCCCACACCCTGAGAAGGGCCATAACAACCTCATCCTATGCAAGCATCTCTCCACAAAGTTCTCTAGCTTTGAAGTAAGGATGCCCTGAGAGCTGGAGCTTGGTATTTCTCCACCACAATCTCTGGGACCAGAGGGATTTGTGCTGGGACATTACAAGCAATGTGCAGGCATGCTGACTAACATCAGAAATCAGTGTGTTAACCTCTCCACAATGGCAGAATGCAGCCTGGTGATGGGAGCTGGCCCAGTGCTGAGGCCAATAACTTTGGGGAAGATGTACTCATATTGTCCTAGTTTTCTGTGTTATACTTTTGGATGAGGCATGAGTTCCCTAGATGGGCTGTAGGATGGTGGCTCCCATTGGCACTGGTGCAATGCAGATGTCACTCCTGTTACGGGAACAGCAATAGAGTCCTCTCTCCCTCATCATACAGCCCTGCCCCATGGGCATCTGTCCTGCTGCCAGAACTGGGCTGGCTGCTCTCCTAGGACTCAGCTTTAAACCTGCTGCCAGCAATGGAGTAAGATACTAGATAAGTGGAACTGCAACCCATTGACAGCCCTCGGTCATTGTGCCCCACGAACCTCCTCACCCAGGAGCCAAAGCACGACAGTGCATGTCTCCAGTTTCAGGCTTGTCTAGCTTTTGTCAGAGCCTGTGAGTGCAGGGTGCTTAAGCAATGCTTTGAGAAAATGTTGATAATGCGGTGACGAAATAGGACAATGCCAGGAATTTTACTTTTAATTTATTTCATTTGGTGAATTACCTGCCCCAGCCAAGTAGACACAGGTTTTAAAAGTTATTTACTGCCTGAAGTTTTACATGGTTTACATAACATAATTTCCTGTATGAACCAAAAGAGTCTCACCCCAGACTCTTCTCCAGGTCGGGATGGGGGGCATTTCCCTTGTAATTGGAGGTGGGAGAGCTCAGTCTCATTCTGCTGCTTCCCAGGTCTTTGTTCAGTAGGGGCAAGGCTTTATTTATAATGGCCAGGGGTTGCCTGCTCCAAACACCTCTCCAGTTCCTCTTGTTCATCCCGTTTTATTGACCCAAATAGAGCTGTCAGCAGCACCTTCGGGTTGTTCTGGCCAGAGTCCCTTGGCCAGGCTGACGTATGTACAACCCATCGAGCGACGGCAAAGCAATTTCCCACCATCCAATTCTATTGATAGCAGCAAGTCCCCCAGGGGATTAAATACATGATTACTGCAAACAAAGGATCGCTTTGTGTGTGTGCATCACAGCAGAAAGGCAGGAAGTGCTCTCCCTCACCCATGCCTGCACTGTTCTGTCCCTCCCGCTTGCACCTATCAACATTGCCTTGCACATAGGTGCGTGCGTTGACCCTTCCCTTGCTGTGTACACGAGGTTGCATCTGCAGAGCACTTCACAGAGGAGACTGGCCTTGGCTTTTCCCATGCTACAGACTCTCTTGGTATTTTCTCTTCTCCTTAATCACTGACAGTTTGCTCCGATAACCAGTCCTGGAAGGGCTCACCCTATAAAGAAAAGCAGGAACTTCTCCCATAGACATTTCAACACATTTTTCTTAAAACACTGTGGCATTTTGATGACTAAACTTCTTTGTGGCCAAAGAATTTGTGACCAATTTGTGAGCCATGAATACAATGCTCCCCAAATATCCTGAATGCTCTTCCTCTTCTCCTTCACATATTACAGACCTGGATTCTCCATCTCCAGGGGAGATGTGTGCATGTCCCAACACTGGCTATGGTTTTTCATCTTCTCTCATCTCTCCTCTTCTTCTTCTTTCTGAGGATCCTCTGCTTATCACAACAGGGATACCTGTGGTTGGCATTGATTATCCTGCCTTTGTTGTTCTTTTTCCTTGGCTTGCATCTCATACCCAAATCTGCCCTCTTTCTTCTCTACACTGACCACAGCAGCTCAAGTATTCCATAACAGGCTTCTTTTCCCTGTCAGAGTGGGTTGCTGTACGGTTGTAATAGGAAGTGACAGAAACTCTACCAGTATAACTGCACTTCTGCTGATTTAAAACATCCACCTTAGAGCTTTTATCAGCATAAGCCTCTTAATAAAGAGGGGGGAAAAAAAACAACCATCCACGCTCCTGGCAGAGCTATGCCAATGATGTAACTGGACCTAAGAGTGCATTTACTTTAAAGTTAGGTGGCTTAACACAGTATGTGATTTCAGTTAAATCTTCTAAAGCGTTGTGTGGACACTTCTATTTATGTCCTGTTCATGCTGATTTTAATTTATATTAAGTCCATCAGGATCATGTCTAAGCTAAGTTGAACACAGGTTACATTTCGCACTACTTTTGGATGGATTAGAAGGACTAGAGCTAAATCATTGCTGTCCCTTCTGGGAGCAATTTCACTGGTAGAAATATGTTTTTGTACTTTAACTACATTTAGCAAAACAGCCTACATATATAGGCATGCTTGCATCAACATGACTGCGTCCAACTATCACCTAAATGGTCTTTAAACTGTAATAAACCTGCTCGCAAAGTAGGCTACTCTTGCTTAATTTAGTCTAACTCCTTCTGCCCATGGATAGGTACTGTAGTGCTGACAGAAGTCCTTTTTCCCTGCAGAAATCCCATGGCTGGTGTTTGTTTTAGCTTTCTTCTGGTTCTTGGAGCCTGGTGCCCCTTGTCACTGCTTGCCAAGAAGAGCACAGCACAGATATATCAGAAACCTGAATCTCCCCAGGTATAAAATCTTCACCTGAACCCCAGGCACATTGGAGCTCTGCTCTGGGAACTCCTGCTTTTAGAACATCTCTGGGGAGAGCTGAAAACTCACAGCCAGGTGGCATACCCTTGCCACTGCTTAGAGATGAACCAGCAAACATCTCAGGATCTCATTAAACCTTTTGCTGCAGATGGCCGCAAAGGGCCATAGGAAAGGCAATGCAGATCCAGCTTCAGCCAGCAGCAAGTTAAACTTGTGTCACAGTGCGATGGTGTGGCTATCAGCACCATCAGGCTGAGCTGCCCTCCTGTACTGGCCATCCTCATGTGTCACCACCAGCTTGGCTGTGTCAGGGAAGGAAACGTTATGGCAGTGCTGAGGTCTGAGCTTGGTGCTGTGCTTTAGCAGTTGACAAAGCCAAATGTGTCTGACCCCTGTGAAGCAATGTTTACCTTCTCTCAAGAACTTCCCTGTGTACAGATATTAATTCCTATCATGTGGAAAAATTGGTCACATACCTAAGTATCCCACTGGAGGTGAAGACTATTCATCCAAAGAAAGAGCAGGGAAAATGCCACTGTGACCTTTTCAAATAAATAGATTTTCTTTTAGTAACCTAATATCCCCTCCCTCCCATAACCTGCTAAACTGCTCTTCTTCATTTTGTGTTTGAGGCCACTTGGTCCTCCAGGTCTCACCTGAGATCTGAAAGCTCAGTGGCAACAAGTCTTTAGTGGAGGAAGTTTTTCTTCCAGGTTTTTCTAGACTACATGAATTAAGATGATATGGACAGGACAAATAAGTGAAAAAACATTGAGCTTAAAAGAACCTGGCTGCTTCACAGCTGCTAAATCTTACTGACAAGATTTCCAGTTGACGTTATCTTGCTGGTTCCCTGCGTCCCCATAGCTTTCCAGGGGAAAAAAAATACATTGGTGAGTCCAGAACAAATATGCTCCAACCTAATATTGTTTTCATTTTGCGGGTCACTTTTAATCTCCACTGGGTGTAAATTCCTCTTCTTTTGTTGTATTTATTTTCAGTTTTGTTCTTACTATATTTCTTCTATGCTTTTTTGTTGTTGTTGTTCCTCCACCATGTTCTTCTTTGTTTGTGCTGCAGGCAATGAAAATGATTTAAAAATGCCTGGTTTTGAAACAAGCGATTTCCAGACAAAATTACTCCCAAGGCCTCCTAGCATCTGCAGAGACAAGTGGCATAAATGCACTTTTAAGATCAGTGGGTGAAAGCAGTTGCAAATAACAGCACTAACAGTGGGAAGTACTGGACATGTTTCTGTGGGAAGGACATTTCCAAGAGGTCATATGTCCCAGGAGCATGGCCTGTGAGGAACTATGGACGTATGTAGTAAGACCTTCCTCTGGGCCATAGGACTGATCAATCTCAGCTTGACAGGGAGATCACAGAGGGTGCCCAAGATCAGAGGGAACCCCAGTCCTCATAGCTTTCCTGGAGAGAAGAGGGCAGCAAGACTGGGAGGTCACACAGCTGAATATGAACAGATGAGCTGATGAAGCAGCTCTAGACCCTACCAGGTGAGTTCTAATCTGTCCATCTGTGTTGAGAGTTCATATATACAGTAGTACTCATGAATGGAAGATGAGAAGACAGTGCAGGAATTTCTGAGCTTTACCCAGCCTGGTCTTAGATATTTTCCCTATCTGTACCCTGCTGACCACTGATTGAGCAAGGATGGCTTGGGTACCCAAGGATGGCTTGGGTACCAGGTGTCAGAGTGACACTGAGCACAGCCTGCCATAGGGTGGGAAGAAGGAAGCCGACCAGCCTGGCCCCAGTGCTGGCTGTCAGAGTCTCTGAAGATGTGGAGACTGTGCTTTAAAGTGGGCTCCCAAATACAATGGCTGCCAGATCTGCCGTGATTGCTAGCCTTCCTTCCCTTGGAGCTGGTGGGCTGGGGGCCTTGGTCAGAGCCAGGCAGCCTAACAGATGGCAGCAGCTCTTTTCAGAGAGTGCAGCTCTCTTCCTCTTTGCAAATTATCCTCGAGTGATTATACCTCTGCTTATTTTACAATGATTGTGCTAATGATTTTTGCAAACGAATTTTAAACTAAAAGATGGCTAGCCTGATTGTTTGGCTGCTTTTCCTGCTGTCATCGCATCCAATATCTGTTATTCAGAAAACACTCTTTGCACTTGTGTTTACTCACCCAGATTATACAGTGGGGTTGGGCTCTTTTGCTGGATAATTCCCAAAGCCTCCAAAAGCTTTGGAGGTGGCAGCCCAAATGCTTCAAACACAAATACTCAAGCCAGCGAGTATTTGTCTGAGTACCTGCCAAGCTCTCATTTTCTGTGAACATGCTGGTGAATTAAAATCTAGTCTCATGAATGTTTATGGACAACAACCAAGAAAACAACTCCAAATCCCATCCTTCCAAACAAATTCTACTTCTCTTCTAAGGCACATTCCCAAATCCATTTGAGCTCACCTGCCCGTGACTAGTTCTAATCAAGTATAAAATATCCCTGGCCTCTTCTGTTGGTCCCACTTCCCTTTCTCCTGGAAAGAAAAGCTTTGCTTGTGTCAGGCTGAGAGAAACTCTTGCTCTCCTGTGCCTTTGATACTGACTGCTTGTTTCCGCCTCTTATTCACATGGCTAATGTTTTGCAGAAAACATGCATTGCTTTCAAATGCATTTTTTTCCTCCCTTCAGTGGAAATGGCTGCTTTGAGCAGTGGTGTATGAGGTGTGGAAATGGTTTCTCGTGTTTCCAGTGAAAGCGTTGCATGTCTTTGCCTATGGTACCTCATGTTTGCAATTGAGCTGCTCAGGTGGTTTTCAGCCAGGGCTGCATGGAAAACTGTGAAAAATTGAAGGCTGGTTCCCTGAGCTCTGCACCCACCCTGCAAGCAAGTTGCTATGATTTTTTTTTTTTTTAAAGGAGGTGTCACATCAATAATGGGGCTTGGGGAGAGGTTGATGACCAAGAGGGAATGGCAATGGGCAGGCTAATGCTAGGCATGGGAGTAGGTTGTGCTATCATTGCAGCCACATTTCCATTTCTTTTGACAAATGCAGACCAGGGACTTTGCTACTGCCTTCCCACTGAAACTGTCATTTACATGTACATGTTTTAATTTGGTTTGCTTGGTCACAGTAAATCTGACTTGGTAACACAGTGTCGCATTCAAATATTCTTTTCCCAGCCTTGAGACTGAGGATCACTGTAAAGCAAACTCAAACATAAGCTTAGCTTTCTGGCCGGATATGCATCTTCATTACTCTCAGTGAGCCTCACATTCATAGAATCATTTGAGTTGGAAGGAACATATAAAGGCCATCTAGCCCAACTCCCTTGCAATGCACAGGGACACCTGTAGGTAGATCAGTTTGCTCAGAGTCACCTCTAGCCTGACCTTGAGCATCTCCAGGAATGGGGAGACAGGGCTCATGAAGAAGCCCTCAGCAAGGCTGAGCATCCTGGGTCAATAGGGCCACATCATCCCACGGGGAGTTTTACCATCTTCCCCATGCTCCTGTAGTGCCCACTTACCTGAACACATTATTCAAATGTTGTTCTGCGTAGGACTTAAGAAATCTCCTTCAGACATAGGACAGGACCATGAGCAGCAGCCTCAGTAAAGACATAGCTGCATCTTTTCCTTCCCGTCTGTACAGGTTAAGGGCTTTGGCAGATGAACTGGGGTAGGTTTAGTTGCAACAGGTTATGAAGCGATTGCTTACTTCAAGGGGGCACACGGGCTCCTTTGAAGAAAATGGGGTTTGCTAATGAGAAGTGAAACACTTGGGTGCTGGGGTGCCTCCCTGAACTCCCAGCAGCTGAAAGCCACTAAGTGTATTTTGCTGCAGTCATACTAGCAGGATAAGCAGCTCCTCCCAGATGCAACTAGTCTGAAACATGTGGCTCCTTCCTTCACCCAGTGATGAGTATATTCCAATAGATAAATATCCCTCACCCTCTGCCTCCCCCTTTCAACACCTAAATCCTGACCCACCATCAGCAAGACACCTGGCTGGTGACAGCATGGTGAGTCCTGTCCTGCCCTGTCCCCTTCACGGGGCTGCACTGTCGCAAACTTGGCCGTGCTGGGGAAGGCTTGTGGTAAAGCAGAAGAAGCTCACAAATGGATGCCCATCCTCCCCCAAAATTTTCGGCACCAGGCCCTTGGCCAGCACTCCTGCCCATGCCCTTGGAGCCTCATCTCTCCCACCACCGTGTATTTTTCCAGTGGTTCTGGATATCCCCCCCCCTGCCCGCGACATGCTGGGTGTTGATTTGACTGGACGTGAGCGCAAAGCTCATTAAGGGCTCATCAATACGGGTGATGAGGAGCTGTGTGGGGTGAAGCTCATAGCTCCCCTCTGTGCAAGGGAGCAAGTCAGAACGTGCCTCCCTGGATCGGATCTTTGGGAGAAGCTCTGCAAGCCACGAACACCCAGCGGGCAGCCTGAGGTAGGTGGGACAGCAGAACCTGGATGTGGGGATGGGAGTTTGGGGGTCAGAAAAAGGAGTCTGAATGTGCATGAGCATCCTTGGGAAAGGGTGACTGCAGGCACTGAGCTCTCCTCCATCCCCCTTAGTTGGATGTGGGGCAAATGAAACAAAAGCACCCCGAGGACGTGGCAGGATGAAAGATGGAGTGTGCCTCCCTATAGGGGCTATAAAGGTGAACAAAGAGGGGTAGTCCCATCTGCCTGGCACTCTGCTGGTGCAGCATGAAGCAGACAGGCTGCCAAAAGCAGGGGCAGAAGTTGCCAGTATAATGGCCTCAGCTGCACCACTGCTGTGCCTATATTTCTTCTGCCAATTGCCATTCCAGTTGTGATTTCTCCTAGTCAGGAAAGGCAGCAGTCACTGGGAAGGCAGCATCCTTCCTTACAGCTACTAGCACACAGAGCCAACTGGATCTCCCTCAGTTCCAATGGGCCTCTGACCCACTGAGGAGATGTAGTGAGCTTCTGGAACAGCAGCCAGGTGGAATCCTGGGCAAGTTTCCTTAGTGGGCTCTCCACTGGCAGGAAAAAGCTGCAGCTTGGCCACCAAGGGCTCCACTGTTGGCTGATGACCTTGCTGTGATTCTGCTAATTTCTGGTGGACATCTCCAGTACATTTATCTTGGTTTTCTTCCTTATATTCTCATCACTCTAAGAGAAGCTCTGGCATTACTTGGAATGCAGAGGAGAAAAACAATCAAATCCAAACTAGCAAAGGCTTTGATTTTCTTCTTGAGAAAATTAATGGTCGTAAGGAACAAATGACAAACACCTTATATGGGGACTCCCCATGGTGCCAACAACAAGTGACCACCATGCCTGCTCCTGCAGTCTCTAGCTCTGGAGATGAAGGTGGATGGATGGCTCTCTCGGAGACTTGATGCTGTTCCTGACAGCTGCTGCTATCGTCTTCCTCCTGCCTTCACCTATCTCCCCTCCATATGCTGAGTGTATTAGCGGAGGCTTTTGAGGCAGGGCAGGGTTTTTACCTGCTTGCCCTACTTCAGGAGAAGCAGGTGCCTCCCAGCTAGAGGGGTAGTGGCCAGACCTTTATTCCTTGGCCACACAATAAGAGGGGAGACCATTCTCTTGATACACTAGAAATGTGAGGCAGCATCTAGTCACCCTCACATGTTTCTACTCCTTGTCATTTTTTTAATTCATTTTTTTCATTAAGTTATGACAATTAAATCCAAGGTGACCTTCTCAAGTGAAGCTCAGCAGTTCCTGCAAGATCAATTTCACCCAGATCTCTGTTCAATGACTTCATTAAAATAAAAAGAAAGGGAAACCAAAAATAATATCAATTCCACTGCAGCAAATAACCACTGGCATTACTTGAAATGTCTCTAGAGATTTAGTAAATCCAGATCTATGTGTACAAAGTTATTTCCCCCTCCTGCACAAGATAGCCATGCCTTTTGCACAATACTTGACACTACTGATGAGATGAGGAAACACTTCTCGGAAGGCTGTGGTCCCACTGAGGTTCTTCTCTCCCTGTTGCTTCATTTCAAGTTCCCCCACTCCCCAGCCTCTTCTTCAGTGCTCCTACCTTGCTTCTACACTCTTGGGAGCTGCCTCTCTGTCCTCATGCTGGTGCCTGATACCCAGCTGGGCACCCCTGGGCTCAATCCGCATCCCTTTCTCATAGAAACACTAATTTGTGCCTCTTTTCTCCCTCCAGTCTCTCATTGTCAAGGAACCTGATGTCTTTGGGAATCATGCTCCTTAATTACAGAGGAAAAGGATCTGGGAATGTTATTGGTCAGCTGGTTGAACATGAGCCAGCAGTGTGCCCAGGTGGCCAAGAAGGCCCATGGCATCCTGGCTTGTTTCAGAAATAGCGCAGCCAGCAGGAGCAGGGAGTGATTGTCTCTCTGTACTCAGCACTGGTGGGGCCTCATCTCAAGTGCTGTGTTCACGTTGAGGTCCCTCACCACAAAAAAGGCACTGAGGCCTTGGAGCATATCCAGAAAAGGGCAATGGAGCTGTGAGGGATCTGGAAAGCAGGTCTTACGGGAAACAGCTGAGGGAACAGAGATTGTTCAGTCTGGA